CACCTGTTCTTAGGATGGAGTGAGGACTTCAGAGGTCCTAACTTGATGGTCTGGAAACTGGAAGTTCCTTGCTGGGATGTTTAAATTGGCGAATGGGCTGATCCTAGTAGAAACTGGGAAAGCTTTTGAGGCTAAAATTGGGTATGTGCATAGATAAAATGTGTTAGGAGGGAAGAGAAATGAAGTCCTGCCTGGTACAGAAATTGAGACTTTTCTCCATGACTGAATTTCTGGAGATGTGACTTGGTTTCATTAAGATGTGAAATGGAGAATGCTGAAAGAACAATCACCCTAGCTCCTTTCATTTGTTCCACAAATAGTTAGGCAGTGGGGAGGCACAAATAAAAATATCTCTGCCTTTTGAGTTCACCATCTATTGGACACTGTTGGTCGGCTACTCAGCTGCTAGACTCAGGGCCTTTATTTCTTCAAGAGCACACTCTTGCCTGCTAGGTCAGAGCCCTTACTCTGTTCTGCCTCGTATGCTCTCCCTGCCTGCTTTCCCCTTCTACCTAGACAAGTGTCTCTTATCCAGAGCAGACACTAGGGGTTGTCTACACATCATGTAACGTTCATCTCTATCCTAATTTTTTAGTTATCCACTCCTCTGCACAACCACAGACGCCAGCGATAGAGACCACCTCCCTAGCCTGAGGGTGTATCTAGAGCATTGAAGTGAATCATGGAAGTTTCATTTTCTATAGCCATAATTAGTTTATGATAGTTTGTTTGACACAATTTTGGTTGAGAGGACATTAGAGAAAGCCTGTAGAGGGGGTTTTAAGGCAGGTTTCTCTGCTTTTAAGAAAGAGACACAGGACAAGTTAGTCTCTTTATTTTTTCCATTTTATCAGCTTGAGGATAAAGCACAGAACCAAGAGAACTACAGAGATGTGGGACTGGGGATATACAAGGTGGGGATCCTGCCTTATATCCTGGACTTTACATTTTGTGAGATTAAAAAAAAAGTCCTTATTCTTAGATTCAGAATTTCTGTTAATTGAAGCCAAAAGTATTATTATTGTATATCATCCTTCATCAAACAGCTCAAATGTCACTTCCTCAGGGAAGCCTTCCCTGAGCCCCACTCCCCTGAGATTTGTCCTGTCTTATTTTATGATCTTGTAGCTTCTTGGACTTTTCATCTATAACATTTACCACAATTAGTAATTTATTTCTGTGATTATTTGATCAGTGCCTGATATTCCTACTAGACCATTAGCTTTATGAAGTCCCTCATGTCTATCTTGTGCATCACTGCCCTGAATAGTGTCTGGCACATAGTAGGTATGCGTGGGTATAGCTAGAATGACTGGGTAAATATAAAAACGTGTATGTAAGGCTCAGTGGGGGCCTGAGGAAAGGGTGCTTAAGCCTGATTGGGAGAACCAGGGAAGGATTCACAGGGGAGGTGAAACTTAAGCTGAATTTTGAAGGAAGAGAAGGAGTTTTCCAGGCATAAAAGGTTTTAGGGCAGAAGATTTCAGGCAGCTGGAAAAATATGTGCAGAAACCCAGAAGTATGCTCTAAGCCCTTAAGTCCAACCAAATCACATTTTCATTGCAAGAACTTACAGTTCAAATTTATCCTCAAAATGATATTTTTTTGAAGATGACATAAAGGGGTATTTTTGTTTATAAAATGTCTCCTGTTTCTTAGTTTAAATTCTTGAACAGAGAAATTACCCTTGATGTCACTCAGTTTTTCCATAGGATTCCTTTTGTTGCATAAATTCTCTCTACCTCTCTAGTAGATATCTATTTACACTGTTTAGTGGTCAGCTAGGGGGAGAAATGGAGACGAATGAAGATACCTTGTGACATGTCATTCTGGTGACCTGTGGAGTTATTCCAATGAACCAGCCAAGAAGTTAATGTGCTCTGAGTCAAATCAGAGAAATGGAACAGACAGTGAGTCCACGCTGCCAAATCAGGGTAAATTCTAATCCAAGTTACATCAGATCTATTATGAGTTTGGGGGAAAGTCAAATCTTTAGACCATTATATCCAAGAAACCTAATCATCTTTAGTCGGCACCAGCTGCTGTAGCCCATAATATGTCATATCCTATATAACACTTCAGAAATTGTTGCAACTGTATCCAATCCTTCTGTTCTTCCTTTCCAGGGCAAAAATAATTTTTTAGCAGAGAAGGAAACAACTAGTCCATGGGGTGCTGGCTTGGGATGCTGTCTTCTAATGGCAGAATACAATATGTAAGCAGTCTAGCTGATTTTGAATACAAGCCACCAGAGCCTTTATGTATAAAGTGTAACTGATTCCACAAACGAGGCCAATATAATTAGCTTATCATGATACCATGAGGCTTATAACCTTGGTCACAATCATGAAATGTCTCCAGGAAAACAAGTAATGATTTCATCCACCATCTATACACTTTCCAACTAGAGATCTCCAACCCAGGTCTTTGTCCTGAGCTCTGTGTGTGTATATATCCAACTGCCAAACGAAATAGCTCAGGGGCGATGCACGTTCAGTCTGTTCAAAACTGGGTTCACTTTCTTGCCCACAAGCTTGTTTCTGCTGTTGTGTCTTCTCTCCTTGAGCATAGAGTCAACGTTCATTTATCCTAGCTAGAAACCTGGGAGACATCCTAGACATCGCTTCCTTCTTCCCTTGACTGTGGATTATCAAGTCCTTCAGATTTAGCCATCTAAGTGTCTCTCCAGTCCCTCCCCCAGCATTCTAATTCAGTCTCCTTAATTTCTCATCTGGCTTCCTGCCGTAGATTTATAACCTCATAAGTGGATTTATGGCCGATAGTCTTTCTCATTTACAATTCCCTCCACAATGTAGCCAGCTGGGTCTTTAAAAAATGAATATTTGATCAAGGCTCTTGATTGCTTGAAAACCTTTAAATGGCTCCTCATTGCTTTCAGGATTAAATATCAACTCTTGAGTGCAACCCAAGTTGCAACATTTCATGACTTGGCTCCCATCTCTATCTCTAGCCTTGTATATCTCTTCTCACCCTAATCTACCCTCTCTCCCTCTAAAACCTCTGTTATTATACCTAATAATAGTTAGCATCTATTGAGTACTTACCCTAAGCTAGGAACTATGCTTAAAGGCTTTAAATCAATGTGTTCCAAAGTTCTCTGATGATATGTATCACCTAGGGTGTTTGCTAAAAATACAATTCTTAGTCTCTATTCCAGACTCATTGAATCATAATCTTCAGGGACCAAACCTGGGAAGTTGTAATAAGTAAATAAAATAAATAAAATAAAATAAAATAAAATCCTCACAAAACACATCCTCTGAGAAGTTTGAGAAAACATTGCTTTACAAAAGCTTTTATTTAATCATTAAAATTAATGAGATAAGAACTGTTGTTAGTCTCATTTATAGATAGAAAAACTGAGGCTCAAAGGAAGAGGTAATTTTTCCAAAGACACATGGTTAACTGATTGTCATTATTATGACTTGAACCTAGGCACCCAGTTGCCTCACTTGTGCCACTGTTATATTCTACCCTCTCACTTGTGTATCAACACATGTGCTGTGTTCACTCTCAGTTCTCTGGGCCTCTTCTGCCCTTTGATTTGGGAAGTTATTTTCCCACCTTTGCCTGGAAAACTACTATTAACCCTTTTTCAGCTCAGCTGAAGCTTTCATTAACCTGCCCCGCCCGGCTTGGTTCCTTTCCTACGAACCATTCTGTTGACATTGCATATCATCATCTATACCCTTATTTGTTCCCCTACCAGACTATAAGCGGGCACATCTCAAGTCCTTCTGTGTCCCTGGTCTAGCAGAGTGCCTGACATATACAAGGTATGTGATAAATATCTGCTGAATGAGTAAAAGTGTAATAAATCACTTTAGCTTAGCTTAGATGCTGGGAACTGACAGAGCTAGGGTCACTCCGGAAAATTATTTGCTTTTGTATTGAATGCTGTCTCTTAGAACCAGGCCATGGACCTTTGAACTCATCTGGTTTTCATTCTAGGAGTGTCTTAGGAGAGATGGGATTGAGACCCCAACCCATTTTTTTTAAAGTTCAAAGGAATAAAACATGTGATATGCTACAGTAGCTCCAATCAAGACCAGATTATAGAAAAAGACAATGAAGGGCCCAGAAAGGCTCAGCGTTATAAGGGAAGGACATCTGAGCTGGCGATGTGAACTCTGGATTTAGGAGGCTAAATCTAGAGTTCAGAGAATCAGAAGGATATTCTGACATGGGCTTAGGGCATTCTTGATCCAGACTCCCAGTGCTATGGGTGCACTGTGAGCATGAAGCAAAAGTTAAAACAGTTGGAAGCAGTGTTTTCACTTGGTCTTAAGGCAACAGGTACAGCTCTGCAGTGGTGGCTGCAAGTAAGACTTTTAAAACAGGAGGCTTGGTGAGGGCCCAAAATGTATGGACTAAAGGTCTATATACTACCAGGATTTCAACAGGGCTGAGGTTGCCCTGTTGACAGGGGTAGGAAAGGGACTGGGTTCAACAGGAGTGGAATTTCCATGGCTTCCAATGACACCTGTGTTCCACTACTGGGGACAAGGCAGTGGCCACAGAGGAAGCCAAGACCATCAGGCGAATCTGTCCAGAAGTTAACAGACATCAAGTTTATTTATGAGGGTTGCATGTATCTTGGCTGTACCTTTCTTAGTTATTGTTGAAGGCAAGGAATGAAGGGAGCTGGCTCATGGACAAGTGCAAGCTATCCTGGCAGATCTTGTGAGTATTTACTTGTGGCACGAGAAACTTAGGGAGACTAGGATTTTCTCTTAATTTGGCATCCTTGGGTTTGGTGTCATAATTTAGGTTTAAAGGAAATGTCAAGATCACCAGGTTTGTAAGGTCTGGGGATCTGGGTGATAGAATTTTTAACGAAAGTGAGTAAAACAAATCTTTGAAAACATGACTCTTTTCTCAAGCATGCTAAAGACAGTCATATGCAGTCACGAAAAACGAGACCCTATAGGCAACAGAGCAAAATCATGTTTTATATGAGGCAAGTTTTATTTGAAGCACAAGCTTTATTTGAAACGAAAGCTTTCTTTTTAAAAAAGGCATTATTTGAAGAAAGGTTTTATTTGATACAAAACTATCTGTAGGCATTCTGGAGACTCATTTATGGGCAAAAGAAATTAGGTCCTACATGCACTAGAACAGAAGGGAGGCTCTGTTTGGAAAAGAGAGAACACGGCTACAAACATCCAAAGAGTTGGCATTAGAGATGATTACAAAGAAAAGAAAACTCTTGTCAGAAAGGTGACACATTCAATGTGAAAGAAATTAATATGTAAATGACGTGGATCTTGGTCTGTGAAGACATATATCCTTAGCATATCCAACAAAATACACTCACTGGAATCTTACTGAAACTACAGACGGGAGGTTCAGTTTCTGTTCTGGACACGCTGCCGTAAGATGCGCAGCCTCGACATTACCACGTCCCAGTCGGCGTAAGCTCCTTCTAGGTGGCGGGTTATCTCGGTTCCTGCTTCGTAGCTACGTCGGCCATGAAGCAAGCGCCAGTTGTCAAAAGTAATCACGTCACCTGGATGAAAGATTGTCACAATATGAATAATCATGTCTTTAATATTCACAGAGTGAGAACATGCAAAGTGCAAAATATCATTGCTGCTTAGTTCGCAGCAAGAAACAACATGCTTATTTCTTTACCTAAAACCCATGCATTCACTTTTCACACAAATCAGGCCACTGGATGCAAACAGCTTTAGACATTTTGACATTTTAACTGTATCGCCTGTGGACAGTTTCACAGTTCTTACTTAAAATATTATCTCTGTGTAAAACTTCCGAGTTGTTTTTCCTGACTGTTACTTATCTCTAACTTAGAAGTGTTTATTTCCAGTTGAACAGCATCAAATAATTATAAAGAGAGTAACATTCTTTGCTTGTCTTCTGTGTTTCTGGTATTTTATGTACATTATTCGTAAGCCTCATAAAATTCCTAAAAAGAGAGTATTATCTCATATTTTCATACATGAGAAAACTGAGGCTCCAAGATGTTGAGGGATTTGCCCGAAGCCACGGTGCCATTAAATGGTGAAGTTTAGATTCCAACTCCTATTTATTTTGTCTTTTTCTCCCCTGGTATTTCCATTTTACATGATACTGCTGTAAAAATCAGCCTGGTGTGACTGCATAGCAGTGGGTTTTTGGAGATTCCTGGTATTACTTTATTATACCATGATCAATTCAGAAAATAATCACAAATGAAAAGAATCTTCCCCTTGGTCAAATCAGTGGCCGAGAGAAATGATGCTTTTCATTTAAAGCCGTGAGCTTGATGTCGTTTTACTGAGTCAAAATGGTCCAGGAAAAACACAGTGCTTTCTGCTCTTTTACTTCAAGTAGCTGGCATACTTCAAGAACTGCCTTATTTCAGGTAGCACTACATCTGCCCGATCAGATAAGTTTAGTGAGTAAACATTACTCATGTAGGTTAGAGAATCATGAGGGTAATTTTATGTGTTTACCAGGAGAGAAGAAATCAGCACAAGCTTCAGTTTATGTTGATTGGCTATCAGGATAGAAATATAAATCATCAGTCTTGATATCATTTGACCTACGCTTGGCTTTCAAGTATTTATTCTTTAGGTTGGAGGTTATTAAATGTTGGTGTGCTTAAGGAATACCTAGGAGCTTGTTAAAAGTGAATATTTTAGAGACTGGAGAGTCAATAGAGCAGGAGTGGGGGCTGGGAGTCTGCTCTTCAAGCAAGTTGGCTGCTCACCAAGATTCTACTGTAAGTGTCCCACGTTCCATGCTCGAGAAAAACATCTCCCTCTATTGCTCTCAGTGGTCAAGGTTGAAGAAAATACAGCCTTTCAGTTGTTTGAGAAAACATGTTCACTGACCTGGATTCATCTTGAAAGTGAACTTGGATTCTTTACAGTTCATGAGGTCCACAAACTCCTTCAGAGCAGCATAGAAAGGTTGAACCTTCTCAACAGGCACATCAAATATTGTGTCTCTTGTCGCATTATTGAAGTTGATGCGAACCACTTGGCCTTTATCATCCAATCTGTTTTTTAAGAGAAAAATTTAAATATATAAGTCATGAAGTATTAATTTACATTTCTAGGGGTCAACTTGTCTTTGAAGATGTTTCTGAAATACAGTATTAAAGAATCCAAATGCATGTACAAAAGATGTTAATGTTGTCTGTGGTGCAATGCATTTATTTCTTTTTTTCATTTATTCATTCAGCAAGTATTTTTTAAAATCTTACCACCTAAGTGCCAAAATGATTAAAATTAATTTAACATAAACATTACTGAAGACTTCAGTTAAAAAGTTTTTCTGTGTTTAGAGAAATGAATTCATTCTTCATTCTTTAAAACAGTAGTTTTTACATATTAAAGTATTTTTATAAGTTCATAGGTCCATCACTTTATATGTTTCATTTATTGGGCTTTTAAGTATGATTTTATTGGAGCATAATTGGGAAGAAAGCTCTGTTCTTTAAAAGTTTAAAATACACTTTTCTAATTCAATCCCTGGTTTACAAATGGGAAAATAGAATCACAGAAGAATGAAGATTCTAGCCTAAGGTACATTCTTTGAATCTTCCTATCTATATGCCATCTTCCATGTTACTGACAAGGATGTCATGACATTGAAACTCCTTGGAGGTCTTTTGTCCTAGCCACTCTGGCGATCAGTTCTTCTCTCACTAACATCGTAATTCCTTGATGGGAATGGTTATGCTAGTTACGAGCTCTCTCTTTTAGAGTCCATGTGTGTATCCTCACATATCAGTGAAAGGAACTTTGTGATTCATTAATCTAATGAAATCAGAATTGTGTGTCTTGTGGCACATTGTACTAAGCTTAATTTCCAAGAGTTCACATATATAAACAAAAATAATCAATTTTCTGTGCGTGTGTAACATGGTCTCTGTCTCCTTTTATGTGTTTTTTACTGTCTATCTGAGAAAACAAGACACAAATTCATTATTTAACATTGTCAGCAATGACATGAGGGGAAATAGAAAGCAAATTAGTTTTAAGATCTAGAGAAGACATTATTTTGATAATTGAAAAATGTTAGAAGAACAACCTAATATGCAAAATTGAATCTTTGTAAGAAGGAAATCATGTGTGCAACAAGAAAATGAAAGAAGGGTAAAAAGCCCCCCCAAATGAGGAATGACTGGCTTTATATTAACTATACATGAAAGACAAGAATTGAACATAAACCAGCAAGAGATCATCAGTGATGCCAACAAAAGAACACAATGAAAGGCAGTAGAATTACTTCTTATAATCAGCGGGTGCTGTGACTCCTCCTCATTAGTTACAATATCATGTTTCATTGAGAGATGATATTTGATGGGACTTCTAGAATTTGTTGTGGAAACGTCACTGTGCTGTTGCCCACTATAACACATTTTATGAAGATCAGCAGTAAAAATTTATTTCAAATCAGAAACATCTTGAATCTTGCAAATTAAGTACATCCCCTCCTTTCTTTGGTCTCTAGAAACTTGGAGCTGAAATTGAAATCTATTACCAGTAAATGTGTTGAACTTTAAGGAAATTATAGCTAGCTAAAATTTATTCTGCCCTTTCTGAGTCAGAGGAGGCAGTCATTTATTAGCTCTGTTAATTCCCACTTCAATAGTATGTGGTAAGTATTAATATTACTCCTTTTTTACTAGCTCCCTTTTTACCATGGCTTAGCCAGCATGTCATTTGACCAAAATCGTACCACTAACAAGGGAGGAAGTTTTATTCATGTGTTTGACTTTGTAACCACTGAGAAGCATTGCTATTGCTTAACCTCACCATTATTATTTTTTTCCAAGTTTTTATTTGTTTATTTTTTCTTTTACCGNAAGCATTGCTATTGCTTAACCTCACCATTATTATTTTTTTCCAAGTTTTTTTTATTTGTTTATTTTTTCTTTTACCTCACCTAATTATGTCAATAGCTTCCAACATATTTTATTTTTTAAATGTTTTTTATTTATTTTATTTTTAATCTATTTTTATTGATTTCAGAGAGAGAAAGGGAGAGGGAGAGAGAGAGAGAAACATCAATGATGAGAGAGAATCGTCTGCCAGCTGCCTCCTGCACGCCCCCTACAGGGGATTGAGCCCAAAACCCAGTCATGTACCCTGCCTGGGAATCGAACCATGACCTCCAGGTTCACGGGTTAATGCTCAACCACTGAACCACACCGGCTGGAATCCAAGGTCTTTTTGTACTAGATAGGACATAAACATTTCAAAAGAATTAAAAAAGTTAATCACAAAGAAAATGAAATGACCCAAACGCAGAGATGACCAAGGCCCTTGATTAACTGAGAACGCTCTTTGTTTCATCTCCTGCTGTTAAAAATACATTTTTAACTACTGATATTCTCTAGGGATATTCCAGGGCCTTGAAAATGGCCATATTTTGGAATTTTACTACCAAAAATAACAAGGTCAAATCATGATTCAGATGGTGAACATTCAGTTAATCTCACTCAATAGCTAAGTTTTTTTGCCTTTCTCCACTAACCTTGCAGAATCTGCAATCATATTGTGCCATTAAAATTTTCATGGACTTTTCCCCCCCGTGGATCCCACTGATAAGTCTAGTACCCACCTGACACCGTACATAGTTGTTACAATATGATTGACTATATTACCTGTGCTGTACTTCACATCCCCATGACTATTTTGTAACTACCTCGTCTATTCACTTTTCCAGCCATCCTGCACAAACCCTTCCCATCTGGCAACCATTAGTTTATTATCTGTATCTATGAGTCTGTTTCTGTTTTGTTCATTTATTTTGTTCTTCAGATTCAACATATACGTGAAATTATATAGTATTCATCTTTCTCTGTCTCTTACAGGTTTTTAAGGCTTTTTTGAACAGTTGAAACTGTCATGTTAAAACCAGTAACCCAAGAATTAGTTTTTTTCTTTCCCACCTCAATGACCGACCTCTCTGAGAATGTTATTCTGAATTAGAATTTATTTTTGATGCCTCTCTCTCTCTCACCCTTCATCTACTATGTCAGAAAAATATGCTGCTTTGACCTACAAAATATATCCCAAAACGAATCCTTCTCCACACGTCCACTATCATCACTTGGACCACTCATGTTCAAAGCACCTTCTCCTCCAACTTGAAGTCCTGCAGTAACTTCCCAACTGGTCTTCCTGCTCCAACCCTTGCTCTTCTACACTCCATTCAACACAGCAGCCAAGATAATGGATTTAAAATGTACATAAATTTGCATACATGTAAACGTCTCTCTTTTGGTCTAAATCTTGCAGCAGCTCCCTATTTCACTAAGAGTGAAAGCCAATGACTTACAATGGCTAACAAGGCTCTTCATGAACTTCCCCCCATTTGACCTTCTCTGCTCTAGGCTGGCCCTTTGCTTGACTTGATTGCACCAGATACATTCTTAGGCCTTCACAGATCCTTTGCTCTCGCTGTTTCAGGAATCTGCTTATCTCCTGGTTAATCTTGCTCATTCCTTTAAATGTTTTGCTCAAATATCATCTGCTCAATAAAGCTTTTCCTTACCATATTATTTAATAATGCAAGTTCTAGCCTCCCTAACAAGGAATCAGGTCCTACAAATTCTCCTCATTCTGCCCAACTTTTCCTTTTTTCTCAAATACTTAAAAATATTTTAACATTTGTTATAATTTACTAATTTGTTTTAAAAGTTCCAGTTTTCCCCTTCTCTGCTAGATTGTAAGGGATCTTTGTTTTGTTCACTGATGTATGCCAAGCACCAAGAAGAGTGGTTGGTCTCAATAAATATTTGTTGAATGAATGAATGAATGAAGGCTCTATGTGTATGTCAGAGAGCTGAGTTAGTATACTGGAAATCTGATTATTTACCAAATGAGTTTACTTTAATTATTTGGCTATTTCTCCTGAAAGAAGAATATAAACTCAATTCTAAAATTGTAAACACCCCAGAATTCACTAATGGGATCTTATTAAATAAACCATGTCCTAGAAACACAATGTAAAATAATTTTCAAATAGAAGGATGTATTTGTGGCCTTTGTAGATACTTAAAAACTTATGATCAGATAATGTCAAATGAAAAGAGAACACAAAATGTTCTATGTAGGGAATGTATGAGCTTCATTGGCATCAATCTGGGGAGAAATTCCAGTTTCTTTCTCAGCCCATGTGGTTCAGATGAGGCTGTCCTTGCTCCAGAGAGAAACATGTGACCCAGGAGTGGTTAATAAGAATTGTCTGACCTTCTGTCTATGGCGATTACTTCAAGGCTACACTTGGACACAAATTGGGCAGTGAGTCATTTAGCTTTGTTGTAGCTCTTGGGAAATAAACACTTTCTCTGTGCTGTGATTACCAGCTCTAAAGATAAGGAAAACTTGGAGCTTCCACTGATTATCTTTGAAAATGAAGCCAACACAAAGGATGGCAAAGCTAAGAGGTGAAGAAAAAAGAGATCAAGTTCAGATAACACTGTTTATTTAGCTCCTAGATCTACCTAACGCATTAGATTCTTTTACTTCTGGCTGAAGGTGTTCTGACTAGTACAGTCACACTGATTATAACTACGTAGACTTACATTTTCAAATTTAAGTAAAAATTAAGCATACACGAAGTCTTAGTTATTTCTCTTATATTGATTGAGTGCAGAGATTTTATGAAGTTCGATAAAGATTTTATTTATGGTGAAAAGATTCTCTTTTCCCTCTTTCCCTCTAAAATTGGATTAAAGAGTTAATAAAAAGTAAAACTCTGGAATTAACTGAGCTTTCTGCTGTTTAAGCTTTAGGCAAATGAAGGTTTTGCTGTTAGTTGTTTTATCGCTGTGAGGAATTTATAAATAACACTTACTCTATAATTTTGTGTTTGGATTGTACAGAGAAGTCGCAGTAATCAACTCCAATGTCTGTGAAGTCCACGAAGGTGGAAGACAAAATCTGGAATGCCCAAGGATTTTTTTCCTTGAGCTTTCGGCATATATTAAATCCATCTACAATTTCCGAATCACCCCCGGTGACTGTTTGTTTTATGCAGTGCAGAAACTGCACCTATAAAAAGAAATAGAGAAATAGGTTTTAAAATGATATGTATTTACATTTCTGACACTGCATTAAAGAAAGCACAGGAAGACACAGATGCATTAAAATTGACAAACCATTTTTTTTTTAAAATCTGTCTTTGTGTCAGTAGACAAAGGGGCTGGGGAGAAAAAATTTGCTGCCATCAATATTTTATAGTTCAAACATTGTTGCAGTTGAAGACTTGGACACAGGCATGCTAATGGTCATTAGTAAACAAAAGGCACACAGGATAATAGCTGCAAGGAGCTGGCACTTCATGTTGGAGTATTCGTGCAGGTCAGGTTGGCTTTACAAAGGAGACAGGATTTAATCTGGGTCACGGAGCATGGATGCGATTTTGAATATGTAGAATAGAATGGAGAGAGAGAGAATCAGGCGGCAGTGATGATGGGTTTGCAAAAGTTCACCCTTCACTGGGTATCAAAAAGTTTGGCTGCAGCAGATGGTCACACCCGGGAATGGTAGATCCAGCTGGAAAGGTAATTTGGAACCTCATCATGGAGAGCCTTGAATGTCAGATGGAGGATATTGGATTTCCATGAAAGGCTTTTGAATATGGAAGTAGAGCCTGAATCGAGGACTATCAGTCCAGTGATGTTGCACGGGATAAATTATTTAAGGTGGGAACTAGTGAGAGAGTCTAATGCGATAGTTCACGCGTAAGGTTAAGAAGGTGGGGGCTATGAGGATGGATAAATCCAAGAAACACTGGGAATGAGAAACCAAAAGGATAGCAAGTATTAATTATTTTTACTAAGATTTAGGAGAAAACGTTTAACATTATTTCATTTAGCAAAGCAAAACAGTAAAAGTTTAAAAATACTTTTTTTGAGCAGAGTTTATGTGTTTTCTTTGGTTATGTGATTCCTATTAGTAGGTCAGCATGGGTGGGTTATTTTAATACTCAAACGTGGGCCCTGATTTTCTGCTTAGAGAAACTAACACGATTCAGCTGTGAAAACTTTATTCTTACGGAGTTGAATGAAAATAAAAACCAGTGTCTGACAGTTCTTATAGAAAGAAGAGGCAAATATGATCAAATATCCAGATTAGGGGGTATCATTACCAGTGGGAAAAATATCCCCTTGGCTGCTTATCTCCATAGATTGTCTAGAACAGTGTTGTCCATTTGAACCTCCTGTAATGATGGAAATGTAGCCACAGTCCCACATGCCATTGTGCACTTGAAATGTGGTTAGTATGACCAACGAGCTGAATTTTAGATTTTATTTCATCTTACCTAATTTAAATTAAAATTTAAATAGTCATTTGTAGCTTGTGACTACTGTATAAAATACTGTAGGTCTAGAACATAAATCCTGTCACCCTCCCAAAACTGTGTAAAGTTTCTCAATGTTTTAAATCTTATCCATACTGTTCTCAACTATGATTGTTTAATTTACATTTATTAAGTCCTCACTACAGCCCTTAGAACTTTATACTTTCATCTCCATTTTATAGATGAGGGAACTGAGACCCAGAGTTGAAAAACATCAGCCATCTAGTAAAACGTGGTAACACTGGTATTCAAACTTTGGTCTCTTTGCCTCAAAATCCTCAGATAGCAAGTTCCTTTCCCATAAAGAGAGAAGTCTTTTTACGGCACTCTTAATAATTCAGTATTGTATGGTGCATGTCTATGTGCTTTGTAGACTTAAACTTCCATTTTCAATTGGTGATACCTTATTTCCTGATTTTAGGAGAGAACTGGTCTAAATTAATATTAGATCAGTCCTTACATCTATGCTGTTTTTTTTGAAACTCAAAACAAAACATGTGCCTAAGCTGACCAAGTCATTGTAGGAAGTCTTCTCATCACCAGGGCAAGGAGGGGTGAAGCAACATGAATTAAAAAGAAGATAAAATGAAAACCTCAACTTTAAATCTACCAAACTCCAAGACTGCAAAACAATAGCAGAGCGCCGTTTCTTGGAGAATCAGAATGTTCTTTAAATCCTTCTAGATTTGCCATAATGAAGTCATAGAATATTTCCAACATAAATCTTTAAAAAAGGTCAGCTGATATCTTTTACATAGGGCAAGGCCAAGTAATAATCTTCTCCTGTGTATTTATATTTCAACGTAATCTTATGAAAGAAAAAAAGATGATGAAGCCAGACAACATTTTCACTGCGAATTCAAAAGGAAAATATATGCCTGATGTGTATAAAGCCCAATTTTATTTCATGTAAGTCATTCAGCACCAAAAATATTTTCTTTCTAAATGTTAATTTATGGCAGCATGTGACTTTTGGCCCAGACAGAGGAGTCAGCGAAGCAACATCTGTGCTCCATTAAAGCCGTGTCTCCTTGCCCTTGCCCCATCTGATCCAAACTGATCTGACCGGACTCTCGACAGGTAACTTCTCCAGGTCATTTCATCTATACTAAAATAGCACTGACTAATTCTGTTTGTTATAAAAATACTTGAACTTAGGGACAAAAACCCCTCAATAATTCAAAATGGAAACTTGAACAATACACAAACAGTGCCTACATTTTAATTATTCATCTACTAGAATCTAAACATTTTGGGAATCATCTTTTATTTTAAAAATCTCCTATCGGGTCATTTAACTTTGGCTGTTTCATTTGCTAATGGAGACAGGCACAATATTGTGGCATTTCTTTGCTCTTTATAGCATATCTATTACGTCTCTATTGAATGAAAGGTGTTGGGTTGAGTCTTGAGATATAGAGAAATCTAAGATTAAGTTCCTGTATTTAAAGAGTTTGTAATGTATGACAATGTCTATAAATAATCATCACATTATATAAATTATGGAAATTAGAAGTCCAACTCAAGACCCTTGTGATAGTGAAAGATGGAGGCCAGGGTTCAAGTCCAAGTTCCCTATTAATCAGATGTCACCCTGTGAAAGTATTCAAACTTTCTGTGAGTCATTTCCTCATCTGACATAAAAAAGACATGATCTGTCCTGTCTTAAGGGAATGTATCAGATAAAGTGATATAAGTAAAAATGCTTTGAAAGAGTATAAAATGCTGTGAAAATGTCAAGCATTATACTATACTTCAGGAACATTTATGAAGCCATTTAATCACTTTTCCATAGGCTTTCAATTTTAACCCAGAAACAAAACCTAACTCATAAAAAAAGCAGATAATTAAAAAAATTAGAATAGAAGCTTTAGTTTTCCAGTCTAATTTTTAAAACTTTATTCCATCTAGCTTCTCCAACTTGTCTTGAGCAGATGAACCAGGCTAATTAGTTTGGTTTTTAACTCCCAGGGTTTTAGAAAATTTCTGGACCACAATTAGAACAAATCACTGTGTGTCTCTTCCTGCCCCCAAACCCTACCCGAAAAGGTGACTATAGTGGTCATTTCAGTATCATTTAGTTCAAAGAAATCATGTGGTGTTTTACAATCAACAAAATCATTTAAAATGAGCAAAAAAGAAAAAAAGAGAGAACTCANATAGTGGTCATTTCAGTATCATTTAGTTCAAAGAAATCATGTGGTGTTTTCAATCAACAAAATCATTTAAAATGAGCAAAAAAGAAAAAGAGAACTTGTGGGCATGGACAACAATGTGGCGACTGGGTGTGGAGCGGGGGGCGGCTTGTGGAAGAGGGCGTAGAGGGGATGGACAAATGGTGACTGAAAAAAAATACTAAAAAATAAAATAAAATGTGAAGTCATATTCTCGACTAGCTTAGTTAATACTGGCAAGGACACCAAGAAATAAGGGCACAGAGAAAGTGTGTTCAGTCAACACATTGAAAAAAACAGACTAAGATTTTTACCCATTTTTCTGTCATTAACTAGAGAGACTTGGCCCAAATTTCCACTTCCATTTACCTTTGAAGATATAGATTTCTGTGCAATGTTTCATTTAGTCCCGTTTAGCTCTAAAAATAGAAACAAAATAACATTTCAAAGGTAGCTTCCTTACCAATTATTTCTTGGTTTAGCAACATGATGCTTTTGTAAAAATGTAGTTGGTTTAGTAAAATGACAACTTTGTGATAATGTCGTGGAAGAGGGCCCTAGACATTCTCCGGGGGAATTTGTGGCTCCATGCTGAGCATCTCCCTCCTTGACGAAGAACCTGGTAGATAGGAGAGCAGATGGTTTCCAAAGCTAGCCAAGGTCATCCTGCTCCTTGCATTTACACCCCTTTGCAGTCCATCTTTGCAGCTTCTCCCATAAAAAGTGAACTCTACTTCCTTACTTCTTGAATCTGGGCCAAACTTATGATTTGCTTTGACCACAAAGCATGGCAAAAGTGACACGGTGTTGATTACTAGCCTAAGTCTTGAGAGGCTTTGCATATTTGGCTTGCTCTCTAGGAACTCTGCGAGCTGCCATGTGCCTAAGCCTGAGCTAGCCAGCTGGAGGACCATATGGTCAAACAAGTGGAGCAGGAACAAGCCATCTCAACGACCACCTCGGCCAACCAGCCCCCAGCCGACTCAGCAGCAGCAGAACTGCCCAGATGAACACAGCCCAAACTGCAAAGACGTGGCCTAAGTAAGTGGCTTTTCATTTCAACCACTAAGTTATGGAGTGGGTTTTTTTGCAGTAATAGCTAATATGAACAATGGCCATATGACTTTGCGGGAAAAACCCTACACTGTGCTCCCTTGTTTTATTTTTTCTTTTAACTCTCCTGCTAGTGGCAAATGTGCAAAAAGACCTCAAGATGTACTGCTGTGGAAAAATGTCTTGGCAAAGCAAAACGTGCCAATAGTTACAGGAAGAAACAAAAAAATGTTAAAGAATATACATGAAAATCTTTTATCCCTTGGGAATGGGAAGCTACTTGGGATTTAGGTTCAGAGATATTGTGAGTTTGGATAAAGAAGATCTGCATAAGACAAATCAGCTATATAATATGCTCCTCTAGGCTCACACGAGAGGATACTGGCCCTTGGCCTGCCGTGTGGAATGTGCCGAGGCTCACCTTACCCCAGGTGGGTGACGGAGGGCTGGGTAGTCCGTGTGAAAGCTTAGTTTCCCGGTTGTATAAGCCACATTATTTGCGTCGATTTTGTCTTGCACCTGCCAAGTATGTCTGTAAAACACAAGAAACGTGTTTAAACAGGCTGTAATGAAGCCAGAGGAAATACGTTAAAATGAACGTGATATGTGGGGGATGGNCGTCGATTTTGTCTTGCACCTGCCAAGTATGTCTGTAAAACACAAGAAACATGTGTTTAAACAGGCTGTAATGAAGCCAGAGGAAATATGTTAAAATGAACGTGATATGTGGGGGATGGAAACGTTTCATTTCATGAAATAATTACCATAATGATGATGAGCCAAGGAAGAGCCTGAGTTTTCTTTGTCTAAAGTAATCATTTCCAAATTAGCGTCTCCTCATTGCTCCTCTCCTCTCCAAAATAGAGGACATTTGTCTGTTCTGCAGAGTTGATAGGTTGGAATTTTAGGTTGTTTTGAATAGCTTCATGCCTTTTTATGAATGATTTATTGAGGTGAAATTGACATAACATAAACCATTTTAAAATGAATAATTCAGTGGCATTTAATACCTTTATAATGTTGATAAACTACCACCTCTGTCTAGTTTCAAAAACATTTCCATCACTCTCAACTAAAACTTCTCACCTGTTAAGAAGTCTGTTCCCATTCTGCAGTCACGGGGAGTTCAACATGTTACCCTGTCCTCTGTGTGGCTGGAAAATGGGCAGCTAAATCCATGCAGAGCACTCGACAGACTTTNCTAAAACTTCTCACCTGTTAAGAAGTCTGTTCCCATTCTGCAGTCACGGGGAGTTCAACATGTTACCCTGTCCTCTGTGTGGCTGGAAAATGGGCAGCTAAATCCATGCAGAGCGCTCGACAGATTTTTTCTCTGGCATAACTATAGATGACATAACTTCTTTTATTCCAAGACACAGAATGTCTAGATGTCTTCCTTTTTGTCATGTTTGTGCACTTTTAATAAGACCCACTTTTCTCTCAACTGCTATTCGTTTTCTCCGTATAACAGCTTATATATGGATGAGGAAAAATGTGTTTCATTCCTTCTCTTTATTTACCATATTGCAATGTAACAGATTAGCCTTCTACCACTGTAAGATGAAGAATTTGTTTTTTTAGGTAACATTATTGATAGAAATGTATTTAAACTAGATAGAGGTAATGGTTTCACAACATTGTCATTGTACTAAATGACACAGAATTGTACACTTTAAAATGGTTAATTTTATGTTATGTCAATTTTCCCTGTATTACCAAAGGGTAGCTTATCTTAAAAGTTAAAAAATTTTAGTTGACAACAAAACTAGGAATTACTTGCAATCCGGTGATAAGAAAGGAAACCATTTCTCAGATTTTGTAAGGCTTTTCCTCAGAAGATAAGACAATGGGTAATTGGAAGAAAACAGTGTTCCTAAATGAACCCAAGGGAGTTTGAAAAACGTCACTATATACGCATATCATTTTATTGCTGTTATGTATCTTTATTAAATCATGTTCACACTTATTAAATCATATTTCAATAAATGTATATTGAACACCTATTCTATTCCAATAAAGCTAGAGCAGGAAACAAAAAAGACAAACAAATGACGAAATCTAATATTCTACATTGGTGAGAGCTATAAAAAAATAAAGCCAGGCAAGGAGCTGAGGACTGGGGGCCAGGAGGCTCTCATGAGTGAGACGAAGCTTTGGGAAGTGCTCTGGAAAGAGTTGGCATTTTTCAGAGATTTGAATCAAATCAGGGAAGGAGAAGCATGAATTTCTGAGACATGTATTTTAGGCAGAGGACTCTGGAGAGAAAAGGTTGGGTTTTCTCCCCATTCTCTGGGGTTGAGAGGAAAACTACCCATTTGCTCTACTTTTCCCCCCTCATTTAAGTTCTGGATGGAAAGCCCAGTATATCTTTCAGTAAAGGCAAAAGAGGGATCCACGTGTGGCCATGAACTGCAGAGGCCCAATGAAAAGTGAAGGAGTATATACAGCCTGCTGCAACTCGTTTCAAGTAAGCGTTGAGCAATCCAGTATATATGGCGACTGTGGCCAAGAAATATGTGATCTCCATGAACCTCATGCCACTCCACATCGCATATATAATACAGACTTAGAATATTGTCAGCATCAGCATTCCAAGAATCATCAACACATAGGAAGGGATTTAAGGAGACAAAAAAAGCAACAACACTAATTTCATCAAGTTGCAGAACAGATAATATCTTCTAAGAAGATAATGCTCTTGACACTGTCAGTAGGGAATGACTACTTTCAAATTTTCTTTTAAAAAGTGATGATAATTTTGCATTGATTTACCTCCACTGTCTTTCTTGGTTCCTCCTATGATCAAGGGTAAACGAACGAGTTTTGCTGCAACCAAGAGCTGGCTTAGGTGGAAGGTGCGAGCTTTAGCCCGGGAACAGATCTCCTCTTTGTTTGACATTAACTGGCTTCTACAGGGAAGGAGCCTGTGACTTGGCTTCATCACAGCAGCTGTCCGGCCCTCTGAGCTCACTGGCAGGGGATGATAAACATTTTTTAGCCCTAAAGTATCCTAGGCACAGTTTAGGATGTGTAGTCTAAACGTCTGTGCTCATACATAATGATAAATCCCTGGAAAGGAGATTGCCAATTTCAATCACAAAACATTCTCCTGATAGTTTTAACATAAGCCTGGAAAAATCCTAGAAATGCCGTCTGGTCTACCTTTCCTTATAGAAATGAATCATGCCGAGAGGGCTGCTGCTGTCTGTGACTCTGAGCATTCATTATCCTTCTCAGATCCAAATCTCCAATGAAATAAGCAGAAATAAATGCAAGCCCAATCCACTGGCCTGTGGAGAAAGTATTTTGTCAAAGCCCACTTGTGGAGCTTTCATCAGATGAGGACTTACGTGCACCTGTCACTTGAGACATACTCTAGTGTTCCGGGCAAGGCAACGGCTCAAGCAGATTGTGGAGAAGGCCCCTGGCCGAGCGGAGGGCAGGGCCCGGTGTCCTGAGGCTGAAGCGGCCGGCTCTGCACCGCAGCTCCGGCCAGGGATATGGGGGCTGGGTATTGTGCTACACGCAGTACTGCTTTTGCCAAAGACACCGTTTTAAACAAAGCTAAACAAATAAAGAGGCTGTTTCAAACAAACCGCTGAGCCAAAAGCACAAGGTGTCATTCTCAGCCCTTAATTAGAGATTTCTCTTATATTTTTCGCCATTCAAGGGTTTTGTGAAAAGCTCCAGTGTATTAAAATAATTATTCTTAGAGAATATTTCATGGGCTTGGTTTAAAAGCTGATTTACTAGATTCATCATAATCTAAATGGCCAGTCATAAATATCATGATCTTTTATAATATTAATAGTATTTGGTGACAAGTTGAAAACCTTCAGTGTTTACAGGATGCTTAAATATTGTTTTTGCCAAATTTGTCCCTTTTACACTTGATGATACATTTTACACTGTTTTGGTTAATGGCTCACATTTGGTAAATCATGTTGGATTTATTAGTAATCATTTTTCAGTTTTGAAACACTACTCATATAAAAAGTTCTTCTATACCTGCAACCTGTATTTATTATCACCAGCAGCTACAGCCCCCAGTGCTGACCTGCTGCAAGCTCTTCTCAGATCATGGAAGAAGACCTTCTTTTGGACAGCATTACTTATCCCGATGGATTGAAAACATAATGTTCCTATCTTATTTTTATATTTTAAATTTTAACATGCAAAATTACCTTATAGCTAAAATAAACAAAAAATTTTATAGTTAACTGTACAAAGGAATCTCATATTGCTTATTATTTGTAACTATAGTTGTGACACTTCCACATATGACTTCCCAGATGTGGTCACTCACTGGAGCTCTGACATTTATTCTTCCATTATCATTTATTAGACACATACACTGGGCCAGGGACGGGAGATACAGAAGAGAAAAGAATAGACTTGCATCTCATGAAACTTACAGTCCATGGGGAAGACAGATTAGTATGATTACATTTTCAAAGTTGAAGTACAAGGTGCTATGAGAGTAAAGAAGCGAAGGTTAAGTGGAGACCTGAAGACTGACTACAATTTGTCTAGAAGAGTAAAGGTCATTGCAGGCAGAAGAAATAGCTCGTCAGGAGGCCCAGCGGAGGGAGAGAACATGGCCTCACAGAAGCGAGTTGAGAGAAGCGCAGTCTGGGCCAGAGCAGAGGTTTGCTCTATGTCTACTCTTGGCTTCCCTTTGAATTTCTGCTTCCCTTATTGTCCTGTGAAGTCCTACAAAAATATCTCATTACACTAGGGAGCCGAGTTTAAACACATTCTTTATCTCATAGCAATTGACCCTCTATCAAAAATGTTTTTTGAATGAAAACACGGACTCTATAGTAGTAAGTAGTGCTATTTTCCTGGTTGTCTATTAAGCTATATATTTTAGGTCTACTTTAGTCATGACTACTTTAGCCATCCATTATTGTTGTCTTATTTCTAGGGGAAGGGTTATGGTTATTTGTAAACAGTACGTGGCAACATCACTAAGGTTATGTTTTAAGAAGTCATTATCTTTCAGTTCTACTTGTATTATGGACACACATTTACATTGCATTTATTTCTAAACATGAAAAAGTTTATACCATTTTTAGGTGAGAAATAATATTCCCAAACACAAACTAGAAAGACAGAAGTAACCTTTCTGATATGTTCTTACTCAGCCCATTAAGCTACTGCAGAAATCTCCATGAGATATAAAGATATAAAGTAAACAGGGAAGATTCTGAGGTTATGGTGCTGACATAGTTTTAACTTCTCTGAATTCTCCCTGCAAGACACCTGGGGTACAAAACCCAAAATGCAGGGACATCTNATTCTGAGGTTATGGTGCTGACATAGTTTTTAACTTCTCTGAATTCTCCCTGCAAGACACCTGGGGTACAAAACCCAAAATGCAGGAACATCTAATCAAAATTAGGTGAAGTGATATATCCATGACCACACACACACACACAGTATGAGTGGGTATAGATAGACCTTCCAAAGTCATAATACGTGGTATCAGCAACTGTGTCAGAGAAAGCAGAGGGAACAAATTAGGTACCT